TAGGTAGTATGTCTAGTATGTCTCTTTCCGGCCTCTCGAGGAGGATTGACGTCATTATTCATAGCTAGCCCTAGGATCTGTACACTACCGCTGCAATGGGTTGGTAGCTGCCCCGCACCACTCTCTTCTTATAGCAGTATCCAGTATCACAGTCCACTATCTAGTCATTTTGATAGCCTCTCTGTAGATAAGTACTTAATATCCCTTTGGGATCTAGCCTGAGGTACTATCAGGTTAGTGTTAAAGCTAATAAGTAAGTAGTGTGCTCTATGGCAAGGTGTCGAGGTGTCTACGTATTTTATCTTGATATATCCAGAGGTAGTCCTCATTGAATGTTCTAGTTCAAGGGAATTGTGTTATTCTATAATTATCGTAGCACGTGGTGTTATCACGTTACACGTCTCCGAGGTTTCCGCTGTCACGATACCAAACTACAATCCTTATATAGCTGCCTAGGTAAACTTGCATTTGATAACCATTCCCTTGGAGGCGCAGTTAGATCTCTTGTTACCTACTGTACTGTAGGTATGTAGCTAAGACTAGCTGGTCGACAGGACCCTTATTGGATAACAATACCTAATACTCCATGTACTGTATTAGGCTAGACGCTAGAACCGACGATCCTTCAACAAACCGCAAGCCCATGTCGGCAACCAACTTCCTGCCGCTAGTGAAGTAAACAACACGGTAATACTTGGGATTACGATGACCTCAGATCCCCGGCAAGACTTGCCAGTGGTTGTATCGAATGGTCACCGAAGTGCCATACGACCGTGTTTACCTTTACCAGGCGCTTGTTGCATAGCATGAAATCTAAGTGTTGAATTTCATTCGGGAACCTTCAATGTATCTAGTTAAATCACAAAGGTTTTTACCCCCATCGGCTTAGAGGCGAGCATTTACTGCTCTGTTCTAGGAGGCTCATTCCTCGGGTATGATTGGCCACTAGGATCCTATATCTACAGTAATCTTTTATCCCAGCTTAGATTTGGACCTAAGTTTGAGAAGAGAGATAGAGATATGTGTGGATATATAGGAAGTCGCCAGAAGTCTAAGGACCATAACGTTCGATTATCATAGATCGCCAGGGCTTGATAGCTCTGCCATCGAATAGTGCAAATAATTGGTGTGTATATATTTTTATGTATGTTTCTTCTATTCTCAACTTGTAACCAACGCCAAGACTGAGTCCACTCCAGCGAATTCTCCACAGCCATATGAATCTCTTACTTGCACATCGTTTCCTCCCAATACACTTTCAATATTCATAACCGGAGATGACCTCATATTATCTATGGATGTGAGAGCTAGAATAGTATCGCGCTCCAGCTTCCCTTCACTCTTTAAGAGACCGTTCACTGCCCCGCAATTGCGCCGCCCCGTACCGCCCGTGATGTCCGTCGAGTTTGAGAATATTCTCAATTTCCGCGATGTCGGAAAGACCGTGAATGACTATCTCGGGAGAAAGTAAATATCACCACCGTCTCATAATAATCCATAACCCCACGCTTTTTTCGTGAAGTCTTACTAACAAGGCGGCAGAGTCGTTCGGGAAGGCGTGCTATATCGCTCAGCACGACCAGGTACGTTATCAAGCGTATCCACCATGTATCCTAAGGAGTGCTCAACTCGGAAAGTCTCCGGCGGCGGCACGGGAGTATAGCGCCTTAACTGACAGCGCGCAGACGACGCGACGCTGAATGACCGGAAGCGGCTTACGGAAGAGCTAGGCATGAAGACAGTCATGGACTTGCGAACCAAGTGCGTCTACAGCCATTGAACATTCGCCTCGAGTGAACTCCTTACAACCTTGGGTCGCTAAAACACTATGTCTATTCATGAGCTCTTTAGCTCTCCAATAGAGCTCGACTAACCTCCCAACACCCTTTAGGACAGAGCATCTCAGTCAAGCCCGAAAGCGACAAGCAGACTTGAAGATTCCCGCCCTCCTGCAATCAAATGCCGCACTCGCCGAGCCCATGCAGATCCCAGGATTGCTATACCGCGACGTGCAAGTGACGGGGCGACGGTTCGAACGAGCCATGTTGCGCCAGCTATCATGGTGGAGTTTCATGTACGTTTACATTTACTTCACTCTCTACTTCTTCCCTAGACTTCGCCTGCGTCTCTGTCTCACTCTCCTCCGATGTGTCTGTGCATGTCTACTCATATACCAGAGGGAGAAATCCAACTGAAAATGATAACTAACATATACTGGAATGCCAAAATAGTAAATTGATATTCTTGTACATCTTCGGCTTCCGCGTCCAAGCAATCCGTATCATGGGGGAAGAAGTGATGCAGCCACTTGGTCTCGTAGGCCGTAAGTCATGTCTCCTTAAATTTTCTCGCTGTGATATGTTCTTTCTGTGGCATAGTGACTATTTTGTCTGGTGAGGTGAACAAGGAGAGTGAAGAAGGGAAAAAAAAGAGCATATCCTAGATAGAAATTCTCACCAGTTCGGGGTACGCTTAGAGACCGCGGTTGAAATAGCGATAATTGACTGACTCCAAGCGCTCCTACAGTAAGTCTCGTAACACTAGATGTCTCGGGTCCCGAGATAGTCGAGGTACGTCTGCCCCCCTTACCCCATCTCAACCCTCCTTTCCACCCAAAAAAACAAAGCTCTACCCGTCTAACCACTTTCCCCCAACAGGCTCTCCAAATCCTAACATCAGCCCAAACACCCCGCCCAACTCTAGTCCACTGCACCCAAGGCAAAGATCGAACGGGGATGATCATAGCGCTGGTCCTGCTGACGCTGCGCGTGCCGACGGACGCCATAAGCCACGACTATCTTCTCTCACAGTCGGGTCTCAAGCCCGAGCGCGACGAGCGCGTGGTCGAGATGCTGCAGATCGGTCTCACGCCCGGATGGGGGGATTGTCCGCCGGAGTTCATCCAGCGCGTTCGCGGACACCTCGACGTGCGGTATGGTGGTGTGGATGGGTATTTAGATTCTATAGGTTTTGGAGCTGAAGATAGGACGCGGTTGGTTGAGGTTTTAGGTGCGTGATGTAGTCGAGGAGGTCCACAAAGAATGGTACTTTTGAATCATGAGCTGCAGATACTGAATGTATGTTGGCTATAACCAAGTAAGTATTGTAAAGGGGGTATTAGATCAATATAGACAATCATCACGCTAGTTCTCTGCTCATGCGTCTTGAATATCCGGAATACCCATGACTATATGCGCAAATTGAACAATAACAGGCGAAGCATAAAAAGTTGTGCGGGATATAGTCTATTTCTTTCTAAAGCGACCTTGCATCCAGCAACGATACATCTTGAGCTTCTTTGCTCTATTAACGAGCATCCGTCTATCAACGCCAAGCTCCTCAATATCAAATAGTTGCGATTCTTTCGTGGTAGACGGCTCCTGTGGTAGAGGATCAGGCGAAGTTTCACTTGTCTCATCCTCGTTTCCACTTACAGGTGTGTCCTTCTCGAAGATTCCTCTCCATATACGAGAGAGCTCATCCTTCTCGAAGAAGTAAACACGCGTGCCATCACCCCTGATGTAAAAATTCTCTTCGAGGTAGCGGCCTTTCTTGAACCGAACCTGCGTTAGATCACCTCTACCGTAATCACGAAAGCATACCACCCCGCCTGGTTTCAGCACACGGTGAATATTCCGCACCGCCTGCTCCCACTGTAGCGGCGAAAGGGCGGAGAATATGAAGACCATCAACACGACATCTACGGTATTCTCTTCCACGTTGGGTGGCAATTCCTCACTGGCGACATCCCACACATCGGCCTGCATCAACTCGGTATTGTACTCGGCATGAGAACGCATGACTTCTACGGCCTTTTTCGAGAAGTCACAAGCATGGACTTTCAGCTTGGGATTTTTATTATTGGCCAAGATGGGAAAAGCAGTATTACCGGCGCCGGCGCCGACCTCTAGCAAAATTTTGGGACCGGCGTCTTCAGCTGTTACTGTGTTCAGCACGGGAAATTCCTGCTGCAGCCACTTGCGATTTTTGAAGAAGTTGGCCGTGTTATTCTTATAGAACATATTCCAAAATTTCGCGGGGTCCGAGTTGAACCTGTCTATGGCCACATAAGATTAGCCGACGTCTAGAATAACACATCTTGTTTTGATTAAAACAGAAGATTGGTGACAAGTCAGATGGGAGCGAAAGACTATTTGGATGTATGTTGTCATCAGATGTAATCAGATGAACTATGCATAATTAGGTATCATCAGGACACCAGGGTCAAAGCAACAACAGTAAGACCAAGAGGACAATACATACTCTTCTCAAAATCAGAGACTGGCGATGCTCGCTGCATGGCGAACTGCTGCTGAGAATACTCCTTGTACGCATCGTCAGTCTCCACATGGTCCCAGGCGTTAAACTCGAAAACATCGTCGCCCTCGTCCAAATAGCGCGAGCCGAACATGAAGGGATCGGTCCGCTTCATGTTGTACTGCGGATCATGGCTTCGATGAGGCGGCAGCTGAGCAACGTCGGTCTCAGTCCCTGGTTCCGGTACGGTCTCTTGCACAGTTAAGGCAGAGGTCTGCTTCACTAGTTCAAGATCCGGCGACGGCACCGCATCAAATGCAGCAGCCGTAGTAGCAGTCATTATATAATAAACTTTATGAAATGCCGCTTCTCCCCTATGCAGGGCATTCACTCTGTATTACCGTGGCTGGTTGGATGTTGACATCCTCGGAGTTGTTCAGGAACAACTGAGAGAGTGTGAAGAGGAATTAAAATTCCTCGGCGGTCAAAAAAAGAATTAAAATAATTGAATTACCTAACTTTTAGTTCGTTGTGGCTGGTACGCTAATTGGTAGGTACATCTTGTGTACAGTGTGCCCGGACATACAGTAGTAATTCGATATTTTGGGTTATGTGGGGACCTCGCATATAGACCCGAAGCTTAGGTAGAATACGTAGATAGAGTCCTTTAGCCACTGAGGCTTAGCTAGACAATCTTATACCAACACAACACATTTTGCCCATTATCAACCTTATATCTCTGATGAGAGCTGCAGGATTCGAACCTGCACAGTTTCCCACTACTGAATCGCCCAGATTAGCGGAATCAGAATCCGCTATGATAACCATTATACTAAGAAACCACGCTGGACTCAAGCCTACATCTCAGTCGGCCGAGATGGGATTCTTGATGGGAGAAACAAACGACTTATGTTACTAATCGCTCAACTCAGAGAGGAGAACGCAAGGCTCAAAGGAGAAAATAAAGTTCTTCTGGGAAATGGGGAGATCATACACAAATATAAGAGAGCAGCTTCGAGACAACCAGGAGTCAACAAACAGGGCTCTTCAATGAATCAACACATGCGTATCAGGAATATATCGACCTGTCTGTAAAGCACGTTGTCTTGAATGGAATCTTTACGACCAAGCAACAGTATATTGATCCCTTGATGTAAGGTTAATAAGGGGCAAAAAGCATTATATTGGTACTAATCTGCCACGATTCTTTGGCGAATTCTTTGTGCCCGTTCTCAATCAGAGGCAAGAATTAGAGAGGATCTTCGTATCCAAGTTACCGGTGGTGAGGCTGAGTTAGGTTCCATCCCTTGCAGCGCTATCTTTTTCCATACGCTACCTCGTTCGTCCTTTGACAACAACCATCAAGGATGATCCAGAACACGCTTGACTTGCGATATGTCAGAAAAACTGCCGGACAAGTTTCGTCTCCTCGGGTAGTTCGGGCTGCTCCTCTTCTACCATTCGTCCGTTGTAGAATGTCTGCGATGCGAAGCTTGAGACACCACCCTTGCTTCGATGATTGATGTACCGATGATGCATTGGTACAGCTTGAGCAACGCTACGCAGTCCAAGAAGAATGACACATAGGATAGCCTTGGGAAGCCAGTACTCATGACAGTCTACCGATGCCAGCCCTTGAAAATGAAGAAGTATAGGATAAGATTGTCCGCAATCAATATTTTCGGTCGGTGTCGTTACGAATTCAGAGTTTAGATCATGGCTTTTCTGCTTGGTGAATTGCAGTCTTTTCATTTCGATCTGAATTAAAGTAGGTAATTCTTGCTGAGTTTGACGAGGATGCCTGGGAGACTCTTATGGACGAGATGCCAAACATTGACATTCTCTCCTTCGAAGATTAGGTAACTCGGTCCTTTTTCGTATATGGCTCAATAGTAGAGCGCAGGTTTTTGCACCTGAGATACGAGTGCAATTCTCGTTATGCGATTGCGACCACATCATGTAGTATTACTAAACCAGTTTTGAGCCGGTGGGATGATGTATAAACGGTATTAAACTACCCTGACTTTTTGGGCGAATTTATTTATTCTGGCGGATTAATCAGCTTATCCGCTGGATAGGCGATGTTGATAAGATGACTGAGCAGTTCTTGCTATGTCGGGCTATAGTAGTGTGTTTATCCAGCCTGACATGAAGCCCTGCCAGAAGATATCAACAGATACCTGAGCTGGAGGGTCGCCTTCCGACTCCCAACTGGGGGTGAACGGGTTAACAGTCTCGCAGTTTCCAAGGTAAATAGATGACTGTTCAACTATTTTATCAATATCGCTTATTGCATACAAGCTGAATAACCTACCGGAATAAATAATAGTCTGTTAATGTAGCCGCTAATACTGTAGTTACAGATCATAGATACTTCCATTTTTCCATGAAAGTTGCCTTCTAGTTGACTGTATTAGTCTCCTCCTGACTATGCTTTAGTTGTAGATCTAGTGAATCAATTTGGCTCTATTTGTTGTAATACTTAAAATAGCTGGCTACCAGTGCTAGCCAGCTGGACATGGATTATGACTTTTACGCTAACCTAACCCCCAGCTATCATCCTTTATTAGGTACTTCCAATGTGACATGCGATAAGCCGTTCATGCGCCGAAGATCTTATCGAACGTCACTAAGCTGTCTGTCAGTGCTTGTAGATCTTCTCTTTGGACTCGCGATTGCACATGTAAAATACAATAGAATAAAGTAATCTCACATATAACATAGACACATATTAGACAAAATTCTTTTCTCGACTAAATTTCTTACAATGGAGTCATTATAGCCTGAAGATACATCCCATTCTCCATATAATAATTATAACATCTCTTAATTCGCCATGCCACCAACACGCCTCCTCCTCCCACGCCCGCTCCAACTCCCCTCGTCTCCCATCCGAGATCCAAGACGGACTTTTCTCAGCTCTATCCTCGCCTCTTCCCCTATACCGCCCCAAACCCTCACAGCCTCCCGCCGACTCCCATACAACCACATCGCCCTCTACAATCTAATAGCCGACATCGACAGCTACAGCGCCTTCCTCCCATACTGCAGCACTTCGCGCGTGACGTCCTGGACGACTCACAAAGACCCCGAATTCGGCCGTCACTGGCCCACCAGAGCGGACCTCACAGCCGGCTGGGGCGGCCTGGAACAGACGTACACGAGCCGCGTGTTCTGCGTCCCCGGCTCCATCGTCGAGGCATTAAGCGGGCAGGGAGCGCGCAGCGGGATCGCCCCCGATGTCCTAGCTAGACACGGCTTAAAGGACGAGCCGTCTTCCGTGCCTTCTCCAACGAGACGGACCGGGAATGGCGGGGAAGAGGGCGTATTCAAGACTCTAGTGACGCGGTGGACCGTAACGCCCGTCACATCAGACGGCGGAGGCGACGGAGCACTTCAAAGGACTGGCGGGCTTGCCGAGTGGAGCGACGTGAACCTTGACATTCGCTTCCAGTTCGCGAACCCGCTGTATGGAGCTGTTAGTTCGGCTGTCGCTGATAAGGTTGCGCCGATTATGATCGAAGCATTTGTCGAGCGAGCGAAGAAGATGCTAGGATAGGATGGCAAACGGCGATTAGACATCGCAAGCAATTGTGTCGCAAGGTGCTTTGCTAATAAGATGGATGAGACCGTTAAACGACAATGGTCTCTCTTGAGACTAAGTTGCGGAAGACAAGGAAGGTTGAAGGAGCCCCCCACCGTATCAACCCCTCATCAATGCATCCTGTCACGAAACGGTTTATAGAGTAAAAACATCTGTATAACTCTTAGATTGTATACTACTGAGTTTATATCTAGACGGCTCGTAGTATAGAAATTAATCACAGCATAATAAGCACGCAATAATGGATGAGTTGTATCAACAATTTTTATAGACTTTTTTTTTTTCGAACTTAACAAAAAAGCAAATCAACGCCTAGGATGACCCCGAGTACTCAGGGACATTCGACCACATAGAAAGGTTTCTTCTAGATCAACATCCGCAACATAAGGCTCCCCTGTCTGACCCTTCTCGCCTGGTTTACCGCTGCTTACGCCTTGTAATAGGCGTTGCTCTCATTTTATATGCTATTCATATAATCGTCTCTCTTGGTCTCATCCTAACAACACGAGATAGGTTGGTAGATGAAGCGAAATTTCAATGACCTGACCTAGCCCATGCTTCAAAACTGCGATACACATTAGCAAACAGAGTGATGATGAAGACTTGGCTAGCCTTTCGTCAAAATCTCTTTGTCTTTAACAAGGAGAAGCCACGCCAGCGCCAGCGCCAATATTCGCCAGTGTCGCTATAAGTCATAACGAATCCGTCTCGGGCCGGGGTATAATGCAAAATCAGCACATGTAAGAAAATCGATCTGAGAAATGACCCATGAACTCTAGGTTAAGGGGGAGAATGTAAACGCTGTGAATGATGATTGCGATTGGGGAAAGCTTTGGCTGATAGAACCGACCCGAACACCTTGGAAGCATATTTAGTTTAGTAAGGGTATCTATTTCCTGGCCCTGGAAAGAAGGATGTTAGCTCACATTCAAATATTAGCCTTAATTGTACATAGGGTCTGCTTACTTTCTGCCCGACTTCGGTGGCTTTCCCACCATCCACGATAATACGCCTGACTGGCCTTTGCTCGACCTTTTCGGTTTGGGGACGTTGATAATTTGTGGAGGCAGTTGTCCAGGTCCCATTCGATGCCCTGGCTGAAGACCGGGACCGTGGTTCGGAGGCGGCGGTGGATTGCCGGCGGGTCGATGATGGCCAGGATTGGGTCTCATAGCACCTTGGAAAGGTATTCTATGACCTGGCATACCTGCAGCACCGGCAACACCGGCCGCGCCAGGAGGGATCCCAGGACGCCCCGCCATAGGCGCACCCATGCCCGGCCGGTCCATCGGCCACAAGTGCATAGTAACTTGCCAGTCAGGCTCTATCACTTTATCCCAAACTTGTGGAAGAATGATTTCGCCGTTAGGTCCTATTAGATCATAGTGCCCGTGTTGTACATGAGGACCAATCACGTCGACATGCAAGAATGCTTGCTTGATTAGATCCTCCATACCCTAGACGACTCAGGAAATTAGCAATCGTAAAGAAAAGAAGAGCTCAGTGCTCAAACGCACCTGCCAGGTTTGGCAAATATGATAAGGAAAGCTGAATTTCCTCCCGACCGCGTCTTTGAAGCGTATGGGTGCCTTGTCCTTGCCAAGGTCTTTCCGTTTTGCCTCTTCCGCTTTCAGTTTTGCTTCCTCGAGAGCGTGTTTCTTGAACGCGTCATCGGCCTTCTTTTTGGCATCTTCCGCAGCCTTGGCAGCTTCAGCAGCTGCTTTCTCTGCCTCAATCTTCTTACGTGCCTCGATCTCTGCTTTGAGCTTGGCTTCCTCCTCTAGGTTCTTTCTCCACTCAGCTTCTTCTGCGGCTTTCTTAGCCGCTGCCGCCTTTGCCTCTGCTTCAGCTTTGATAGCTGCTTCGAGCCGGGCTTTCGCGACGGCCTCGGCAGCAGCAGCGGCCTCGGCCTCCTTCTTTTGTCTCTCTTCAGCAGCTTTACGTTCCGCCTCTAACCTGTCACGTGCTTCTCGCTCCAGGCGAGCAAAGGCTTCTGCTTCTCTTTTAGCTCGTTCAGCCTCTGCCCTGCGCTCGGCCTCCAGTCTATCACGAGCGTCTCGTTCGAGGCGAGCGAGTGCCTCCGCCTCTCTTTTAGCTCGTTCAACCTCCGCTCTACGCTCAGCTTCTAATTTCTCACGCGCTTCTTTTTCAGCGCGGGCAACTGCTTCAGCTTCTCTTTTAGCTCGCTCGGCCTCCGCCTTGCGCTCGGCCTCAATAGCTTCACGTGCTGCCTTATCA